ATAGTTTACAGTCACCTTCCATGGCCTTGGCCACATTGGCCTCCTGGATTCCAGAGTTTATTCAGAGAACACAGAGCATGCCAGGCCACTGTGTAGGCTTGTGGTAGTTCTTTGAGATACATGTGACCAAGTCAGGAATAAACTCAGAGATATAAAGTGTGTGGGATTTGAATATGAAGCATCTCAGTAAACTCATGTGTCTGAATGTTTGACTTATCGTAGGGTTTCTATTGCTCTGAAGAGACACCATGACCATGGTGTAACATGAGGGGGCTGGCTTGTTGGGGTTTTTATCCCGCCCGATACCCCACAGCCGGCAACTCCCAAGGAAAAATCACACACAGGACTCCATAAGGTTATAAACTGATTGGCCCATTAGGTCAGTCTACTTATTAATTCTTATGACTTATCTTAACCCATTATTCTGATCAATGTTAGCCACACGGGCTCAGTACCTTTCTCAGTGTGACAGCTTACATGTTTCCTCTTTGGTGGTCTGCACAGGAAAATGGCAGAGGAACCTCTCTGCTTCCCAGAATTCTCCTGTTCTCATTGCATCACCTCTACTTCCTGTCTGGTTTTCCCGCCTATACTGCCTGCCTGGCCAATCAGCGTTTTATTAAAATATGATTGACAGAATACAGACAATTCTCCCGCATCACCATGGCAACTCTTAGAAGTAAAAACATTTAATTGGGGTGGCTGGCTTACAGTTTCAGAGATCAGCCCATTATCATTGTGATGGAGAGCATGCTGTATGAAGGCAGACATGGTGCTGGGGTAGTAGTTGAGAGTCCTTCACCTTGCAGGCAACAGGAGGTCGACTAAGACACTAGGCCATATCCTGAGCACGGGAAACCTCAAAGCCCGCCCTCGCTATGACTCACTTCCTCTAACGAGGACACACCCACTCCAACAAAGCTACTGTGCCGTTCCCTTTGAGATTTTTTACGTCCAAACTACCATAGTTCCCTAGCTGGTGGCACTGCTGTGTATGGCTGGGTCACCTGAGAGGTATTTATAGCTGGGCCACTTACAGTCTGCTCTCTCCAACCTGACTGTGTTAGTAGTGTGACCTGCTACATTAGCTCCCAACCGCCGCCCGCTACATCATCACGCTCCCACGGCCACGCCTTTCTCAGCAGAACGAACTGTACCCCTTCCTAAACTGTGAGCCACAAGAAAACCTTCCTACGTGCTTCTGCCAGTCCCCAAAACAAGAAAAGGAACTATTACAGAAAGCTGGTACTGAGGAGCTGGGCTGTCGCTTTGATCAACTTGGCTGTGGAGCCCCTCGGAACTTGTTTGTGGGAGGAGTATGAAAAGCCCTCGCAGGCTGTAGGCGGAGCTTGACGGACCACGCTGACTGGAACTTCAAGCGACAAGGATGCCAAGAAAAAAGCAGACAGTAGAAGCCCGGCTCGTGAAGGTGGGAACAAGAGCTCTCCTGGGGACTGGATCAGAGGCCATTTGGGCTTTCGTCATGGCAAAGAATCTGGATGACTTCTGCGACGTTCTGCGGACTTCAGTGAAGTTAATTAAAATAAGCAATGGACTTGCAGCTGAAGAGATGGCTCAGCAGTTAAAAGCCCTTGCTGCCTTTCTAGCTCAGTTCCCAGCACCATGTCAGGCGGCTCACAAATGCCTTGGGTCTCCAGTTCCATGGAATGCAATGTCTTCTTCTGACTTCCATAGACATGCGTACACATGACATGCATTCATACACACACACACACAAGACAGAGAGAGAGAAAGAGAGAGAGAGAGAGAGAGAGAGAGAGAGAGAGAGAGAGAACACAAGCCAATAAAAATCATTTCTTAAAGCAATGGACTAATTTGGTGGTGGAAATTTAAAGACACATGATAACGTTCAAGCTTTGGCGTGGTTACCACTCTCTTCTTTTATCCAGGACTACAGAGAGGGAGGTAGGGACATGGAGAGAGAGAGAGAGAGAGAGAGAGAGAGAGAGAGAGAGAGAGAGAGAGAGAG